CCCTCCCTCCCTCCCTCCCTCTCTCCCTCCCTCTCTCCCTCTCCTTCCTGTCCTGTCCTGCATCTCATCCTGAATCACATCCCATCCGTCTTTCTGTCTGTCCTTCCATCTTGTCTTGTCTTTTCTTTCTTCTGTGTTAGGCAGGTTACTGTTGCTACCTCAATGCTTTTAAATTTTTTTTCCCTGGGAAGGAGAAAGCCTAAGATCTCCTTTGAACATTTACACAGTATATATTTAAATACCTGTAGCCTTGTGTCACTGCTGCCTAATATTGCCAAACTTGGGAAACATCTGATTTTCAATAAAAATAAGATGATGGTGGTGTCTATTACTTACTTTAAAATTCTTTTTAATATATAAGTTCATTGTTGAAAAATATCCAACCTAAATATGAACAATTTCAGGAACTTCTAACTTTTCTGAAAGTCATTTAGCACTTTACAGTTATGATGTTTGTTTTAATAGCCACTAAAGGAAATTATTTTATTTGTAGATTTTTAAACTAGTCTGTTTTATTCAGTTGTCACTGCTTTTCATACTGTTCTGTTTTTCATTATGTTTTAATTCCCTGTAAAGTTTAAAGAACTTCTAATCTATAAAAAAATAGTTGTTTAAGTCATAGCAAAAATAAATTTGCCTTTACAATAGTAGAATAACTTAATTTGCATTCTGGAGTAAAAGCTGAATTTTTGAGCAGTCAAATAAGCATTATTAGATCAGTACATTGAAATTTTGAATTACGCACTACGAAAGACATGAGATAGCATTCTAGTATATGATTTTTTAATTTTAGTTTTAGCAAAATCAAGAAGCTAAGAATGCAAATCTAGTTTGAAGAGTCAATTAATGGTACATACACTATATTTTAATCTAAGTTTGGTTAAACATATGTGACAAATGTCTTTTATCAGTTGATTTATTCATTTTATGTCATGGGTACTAGAGGCAAGAATGTTCAATATCGGAAGAACATAACTAAAAAAACGGCTTCCTTACCATGTTGTCAAAGCAAGTAGCATGTTGGAGTCTAGATCGTTTGGGTTACCTTTAGATTGTGCGACTTGATTAAGCTGTGGTAGAGATTTTTGTGAGGGTTTAGAAGAAAACCATATTCTTTTCATTGACTAGAATCCTATAGAAATTGCATTATGAAAAATATGGTAGATGCATTGAGAGAAATGTGATTCAAGCACAATAATCTTATTTGGGGGTAACCAGTGTTGTAGAGAGCCAGTACTACAAAGAGGAAAGCCGGCTGGTGCAGCCGTCCAGATGATTTTTCCAGTTATTTTAAAGGAATTGTTCTAATATTTCTTCATAAAATAAGTAGAAATTACATCATGACGGGTATTTGCCTGCATTTTCAGGGAATTCTTATTTGAAAGCTATAGCTAGGTTAATGTGTGTAGTTGTATTACTTATATTATTGTAGTAATCTGGGTCTTAATTCCTAGAAAAAGTCTGAGCAAGATAACAATTAAAATATGAGGTATAATTTGATGCTTTCACTAAAGGCAGAATGCTTTTTGAAATTTTTCTTTTGGGTACAAATGAGTTTAGGCATGAATGCTGTCTTACGACACTTGAATCTGAGCCTAGTAGCCTTTGTTAGCATTTGCCTTATAAAAGTAAAAAAGCATGGATTAAGCCGTACAAGTGTTGGCTGTGATCAATTGGAACTAATTAAATTTATTTGAAACGAAGAATCTTAACTGGAAGAGAACAGCTGCAAAGACTAGGAGGAAAAAAATTGGGTCTTGATTGATACAATTGAAATTTTCACTCTCATTTAAAAATATGCTACAGCTTCTTTCTCTATCTCCTTTTAAAGCTAATGTCTATTGATCAGCTCTACCAAGTAACGCCAGTGTGCCTGGGTCAACACTACTCAGTTTTACTTAGCGTCCTGTCTTGAGGTTCATCAAATTCTTTCCTTTAACCATATGCTTTAAATCATATATCATAGACATATTAGGTGCCTTGGTGGATTAATAGTGTTTTATATGGAGAAATATTAAAACCTATTTTACATTTTTATATTCTACAATATGCATGGGAAATGTGCTTTTCAATGACATTGCTTTAGGATATTCTGTATATTTAGAATCTGTTTTAACAATAGTAATAGAATTTAAAATAAAAACAGTAGCACTTCTAGATTATAATTTGAGTCATAAGAATAGTACTGTTTACCAGTGTTTTGCTTTTATGTGTGTACTTTTATTTCCAATATTATAACTTAATTGCTGTGTTGATATATAACCAATACTTATAAATAACACATTCCTACTTATTAATAGGTCATAATTATACTAATGCAGTAAATCTCACTAAAGTTGTCATACATATAAAAAATTTTTGTTAATCTAATCTAATTTTCTTAAAGGAGACCTTTGTGTGACTTAATTTTGCTTTATGTGTCTTTTATCATGGTATAGTATAGCATTCTGATTCAGGGTGAAGTGATAACACCCTCTAAATATAATCTTACCTTAATTGCAGGCTGAACAGAAGTTTGGTAGGTTTTAAGAAAGTCCCTATATTCTTCTGAGGGTCATATTTTGGTGTCCTACCTCTCAATACAGCAAGGACACAAACTGACCAAAACAATGATAAAGGGTCAAGAGGCATTGACACTGTCAAAAAGGACACCTTGGTACAGATCAGCACAGTTGACAGATTCAGGTGTGGTGGTGCGCACCTGTGGTTCCAACTACTTGGGAGGCTGAGCTGGGAGGATCACTTGAGCTCAGGAGGCCGAGGCTACAATGAGCCATCTTCACACGAGCGCACTCCTTCATGGGTGACAGAGCAAGAATCTGTCTCAAAAAAAAAAAAAAGGAAAAGAGAAAACTGGGCTCATGCTATCCTCTCACCTCAAACTCCTGAATAGCTGGGACTACAGGTGTCCTACTGTGTCCATCTAATCTCACTATTTAAAATGGAAATTTGTTATTCTAAATTTAGACCAAGAGATTATCTCCTTTAGGGAAAAAATCACCATATTCATTCTTTAAGTTTTCAAACATTATTTAGGACTGTTGTGATATAGTAATAGAAGTATTTTAATAATTAAACACTCATTTCTTTGCATACCTGTAAATTTTCATTGTTTTGTCCAGCTTTTTGAAGTCATCAGTATAAAACTGACACATTAATATGTTTATACACTAAAGTCACCATCTCTGTTGTTTTAAGATGAAGCTGA